TATTTCCTTACCTAGGCGCTTGTGTAGATGAAAATTCTCACCAGATCCTCTCCCCCTAGTATCTTCACCACATGCTCACTGTTGTCCCCATCCTTGTCCTTCCCATGTTCATTAATTCATATTGCCCTGCACCTAGTCCCATTTTCACTTCCTTTGATGCTCCTTAGTAGTTTTAAGTCTTACCCTGTAATGTTTTGCTATTAATTTTGATACCTCTTTATGACTTTACAATAAAAAGGATGTATGGTTTTAAAAATAATAATAAATAAAACAATTTCAATAAGTGTGCTCATTCTCCATGACATCGCTTTTCCGCGAGAGCCATACAGCAACAGGGAAAGATATTAAACAGTTAGTAAATACCAAAGATGAGCCAGTTACTGAGCTAGCCGTAGTCATATGTGCCATTTTATTTATCAGCAAAGCCTTATAAAATGGGAATCCCATTTTTATCCCTAGGGGTAGAGAAACTCAATTTCAGAAATTCAAATTTAAATGATCATCTTAGTAATTTTCATCTTTCTAATACCAAAACCCAGGACTTGTACTACATTATTCTTTTTCTTCTAACTTTCTTAGGTTAAAAAGTAATGTCCTACAATGTTGTATTTTAGGTTATCAAAAGCAGTTGTCTTTCAGAAACTCTGATGGTTCATACAGTATGTTTTGGCAGAAGAATCAAAAAGGAAGCATATGGTGAGAGATAAGAGTTTTATTTTAAGTAATATAAGAATTATCTGAGGAAGGCTTGCAAGGAGGTAGGGGGATAAGCTCAGTGGGCATTTGAAAGAAAAGTGGGTTTCAATGTGAATGTAGAGAGGAGAATCAGATAAAACTAAAAGATTTGACTATTCTAATGCCACAAAAGATGCATCTACCATCATATGGCAATTTGCTTAGCATCCTGATCATTTAATGATAACCCCCTATATTTACACAGCTAATTAATTTATTGGAAAATGGCACATTTTACTCTGTACTTGTGAGAATCCCAAACAGATTCAAGAAAATGAAATTAGAAAGCCTTAAAGCATGTAATTACACTAGCTCTCTCTCCATGTATGGATAATCTAATGGATTACATGGTAAGACATTTGGGCATTAACGTGCTGAAAATTACTCTCAGTTTCACTTATTGGCATTCATAACATTTCACTCATTGCAGCCAACATTAGACAAGTTGAATGTAACCATTATGAAGCAACAATAGTGATGAACCTATGTATGGAATAAATATCATCATGTGTATCTGAATAAATATCAGAGTTTAGTGTAAACTCTGGTGATTTACACTACAGGCTTAGTGCCCTTACTTTTAAGACATTTGAGACGATGAAAAAATATACATTCATTGATGAAAATGTTCAAAAACAGACCTTAATTTGGCTTTCAAGCAAACAGAAAAGTAACGGTTGCTTTGAAAATGATGGTGAGCTCTTCAATGATGCCTGGAAGGTGAGAGGCTAACAAAACTGGGCTTTCATTGCTCTCTTTTCTTACCTACCTTTCCTCTGGCCTACCTCAGCAGGACCATGAATATTCTCGTGAATGTTATGATGTCTGACTCTCTGGCTGTGGTGTATTGATCAATAGCATCATTTCTGCTGGGTGTGTGTTTAAACACAGTCTAGATCTGACTCATCAATCTTCTCTTCGTCTTACTTAGGCTTCAGTCCTTCCCTAGTGTCAGTCTTCCTCAGTAAATAACTAGAAATAGGAGAGAAGAGGGGGAGGTAATGTAGAGAGAAAACATTCATAAATTTGGAGCCAGGCAATATTAAGGAAGGGGACCTTGAATATATGAGAGGTGTAAATTCATTCCTATTCATGGGTTGCAGGAAACTTCTAGGAAGAGTATCTCATAATTTGCACTTTTAATAAAGCAAACTTTTCCAATACCCTCTTTAAAGAAAAACACTAAGGCTGAGTTTGCCCTAGGACAAAATGCAAATGAAGAAAAGTATGTCCTTGACAGGATTCACCCCATTTCTTCTTCTGTCCATATTTTAGGTAAATCACCAGACACTCTCCTTTCTTCTGACTTCTTTTCTTTACAGATAGCTGCCCACCTCCATCCCATCTTCTATTCCCTTTATTCCCTAATTTTTTTCCTCTGGATGCTCAAAACCTCTATTATGATATTTTATCAAATCCTGATTGTCCCTAAAGTATCCTGAGCTATTCTTCTGTCTTCTTCATATTCACCACTCTAATTCTTGAATTATAGAATGTAAATCTAACCTGCCTCAAAATATGGATGGATGGTAATGCCTCATGGTATTGAATTTTAATGCAGATGGTTTTGTAATTGCTTGTCACATATAGTTGGTGGAGGTGGGGGCAGGGGAGGTATCTTTAAATTATTCCAAATCTATCTCTCAAAAGAAGCAACCTGATGAAGAAAAGCTCATGTTCCTATGTAGAAAAGTCAAAAACGTTTTCATATTCTCTTCTGAAACATTTTCTCCACATCTTTCTTTTTACCC